ATATGCCTGTGTATCAGACTTGCAAATTAAACCTGTGTTTACCTTTCAGTGACCAGTCACACAATGAAGTAATCTAAATGCAAGATATGTAAGTGAGGAAAATTACATGTTGTGACAAACAGATGTCTTTCACTGCTTGAGAGAGTGTTTCTTCTGAAAACATGCTAAATGTATCTTATGTTTCAACTCTGAATATGACAATGCTTAGTACTAACTGGTGGCTGGCTTGCAAACCCTAGTGAATGTGGATTGTCTTTGGATTTAACATGACTAATGTTTGAGCACATACTGTTCTTTTCCATAGTCAAAGCTGTCAGTGGAATGATGAAAGCAATTACTGTATGTTAGAGCAGAAAGTGTATGCTCCCAGAGTCAGTACTCAGTATATTAATAGTGAGAACAATTGCAATGGGCATGTTTCTTTGAAGCTTGCCTGTGAACATAATGGAGTTCCCGGAATCCAGTTGTTTGCCTTTCTTTTTTCCTTTTAGAGAAGCAAGAGTATCGCAGAACATGTAATGTTGGTACACTGTGGGGAAAAGTAACTTTCATTTTTGAACAGAATGGTTGTAACTGGCAACGGTGTGTTCTGCCTTGGTCAAGACAAATTTATTTAAAACTTTTTTCTCCTACAAGAGAAGATCATATTACCCTAGAACACTAGAACTTGCTGCTAATAATAACAATGAGCTTATTTTATAGGCTATGTTCTTTGTGAAGATTCTCAATCATCCAGGTGAGGTTATCTGGAAGCTGAGTCATGGCAACTGGACTGCTTTCTTATTAGGTTTAAACGTTTTAGTCTGGGGGAGTTGGTAGAAAACCCCTGATATATCCTCCCCATTAGTTTCACTTTTTTCCTAGTCTGAATAGGCTCATTAGATGGACAGTGGACAGGTTGAGTGAAAATCCCACCTCTGCAGTCCTTCTCCACCCATTGCCATGGGTCATTAACAGTGGTCTTTCTGGTGGGTGTGGTCCTGCTCTTTTTGGGGATGGATGAAAGGGCAGCGTGATAAATAGGAGACAGATTGTACCTAAGGCTTCCGCCCCTGTTGAGTGAGGGAATTTTATATGCACATGTATGGCCTCCCTGACCCCTCTCTCAAACCAGCTGTCTTCTCCATCCAAAATGAGTACATTTTGGTCATCAAATGAATGTCCTTTGTCCTTCAAATGAAGAAACACTGCTGACTGTGGTCCTGAGCCATTGCCCCTCCTGTGCTGGGCCATTCTCCTGTTTAGTGGGTGCTTGGTTTCTTTAATGTAGAGCTCTGACCACTCTTCTTTGCATTGGACCGCATATACTATATTGCTCCTGTTATCATGCTTCCCTTTCAACTGCCTGGAAGCATCCCATCTTTTCTAAAGTTTGTTGTGTTAGTTATAGTCTAGGTATTTGCTGTCTTCATTGGGGGAGTGGTGGAGTATCAGATAGTCTAGTGTAAGTATTAAGGAGCATTGAAGTAACAATATAGTGTGTGCATAAGATTATATTTCTGTTAATTATCTAAGCTGCTCAATTGCCAAAGAAACCATAACGCAAACTATAGCTCATTAGATTGTCTACCTAAATTGTAATGCAAAATTAATTCTCACTAGTTCTTCCATTATAGAAAGAGCAGGAGACACTGGTGCCAGCAAAAAGTGAACTCTCCTTCCTTACTCTATCATAACTCTAGGTCTAATAGTGAGATAATCTACATTAAGAAACACATTCTCCTTCTGAATAGCAGATTCAATGTGAGAAGACAATGGCCTTCCTTGTGCACTCTTATAACCTACACAAAGCCACCTGCCTAGAAACTGTGTGGGAAACTAGATGGGAACTGACTATGGAGGAAAGCGGACTGAATTCATGTTAGAAGACATCACTGTGACAGCCAATCCTCAACTATTTGCTTCTTTTATCTTCGCTCTTCCAAATAATTTTCCCTTGTGTACATTTATTTCTGGGAAGCAAATTGAAACAGATCCCCATTTTTTTAGGATCTCATCTTGCAGATCTGCCTTTACTGTGCTGTTGTTTCGTGCTGCCAATTTAGAACTGACTTATAGGGATCCTAATAGTGCTTTCAAGGTAAGTGAGATGTTTAAGGAGTGTTTTTTACCAGAAGCCCTAGTGAGCTTCAGTGACTGAGTGGGGATTTGAACCCAGGCCTCTGGAGTCCTAGTCTATCACTCTATTTGCTACATTGCACGGGGTATCCTTTAATATATGTAAGGCCTTCAGCACAAAGCTGGTGGGTGGGGGGCGATGTGGCCAGAAATCCTGAAATATTAAGTAATTTCCATTACTAATGCCTTCATATTAAGATTGCCTCTTCTTCCTCACAGCCTATTCTCTGTCTCCAGATTAAGGAGATAGGACTTGGACGGTGCCTCTTGTTTTAGAGAGAGGATAGGCGGCAGCAGGTGTAGTCCAGTCAACATCCAGACATTGCCTACCCTTTCCCCTTAAAGAGCTCCAACTGCACTCTGGTGTTGACTTAAAGGGACAGGCAAGGAGTAAAACTGTGCAAATTAGATGTTGAATTATTGCAGAGGAAGAGTATGAACAGTATACTGTATGAGCTTGTGACTAATGAAGGTAGCCATGAAAACATGTATAAGGTGCCGTTAAGGCTCTTCTTTCTGTGGTTCTTTTCTCTCTCTCTCTCTCTTTTTTTGAGTAACAGACTAAACAATGCTGCTTGGTTGGAAATTGTTATATCATTTCAGTGTGTGATAAATACTGGAGACTTTCAGTGCATTAAAGTTAGGAATTAACCTTGTGTATTGTCACCATACTTTGTCTGCTGGTATTTTTGTACCTGGCAGTATCTCCTCATTGTTCTTGGCAGTTTACTGTAATAGCTCACCACATGCATTATTAAAGTGAAAACAGTACCTTAGGTCCAAGAGAAATGTATTGACTTGAGGAAAAACACATGTAAGAAGAATGAAGAAAATCTGTCATCTGTATATGTATTACAGTTTATTGTTGAAACCATCTTGCATTATAATGTACTGTATTGCTTTCTTTCTTAAGAGAACCTGAATTTGGAATTTTGACATGTTTTGTGGAGGTAGTGTGGATCCTGACATTTTCTCAAGGAGCTGGGATGTTGTAAACGCGGATATTATCTTTAATGCTTACAATAAAGGTCTAAATTAGGTTAGGATAAGAGCTTGAGTGGTTCAAAGTCACTTCATGACTTTTATGCAGAGTGATTTCATTTGAAATTGGAAACAACAAAGGCTGATTATATCGAGTTTATCAGAGATACTCTTTTGTATCTTTTATAAACAGTGCTTTAAATGTCACTATTAAATCATATTAAGCAACAGTGTAACATTACAATTGTTTATATTGTTTTATTCTTAATAAGCCGAGCATTACCTTTCTTTTTTCCACCATAAAAAATCCCTATTGTTTTAAATGATAGAGGGTATGTCTTGAAAATAAAAATTGTTGTAATTAACTAATCATTTTTCTTACTACTAAGACTCATGGTAATTTGTATTACTATTTCTTCATATATATTCTGGCTTCTTTTAGCATTTCTTTTAATTCAGTAATTATATGATTTCATGAGAGTTTTATAGTTACTACAACATGGAATCTTTGTTTGGCATGTCATTTCTGGTCCCAAAAAGAAGAGACCTGCTTAATGGTGGCAACTTGCTAAGTCAATACTAATATAACCTCCACTTATTTGGGTGGTTCTACTCTAATTGGGATTAACTTGTGGATTCCCCCCCCCCCCCCAATACCTTAGCATAGTTTCATCTAGATTCTTGACATTTCATGATTGGTGAAATGGTTTAAATGAAAATGAAAGTGCATCTAATAAAATACCAACATTTTGTTTTTATATAGCTGTCTAATATAGACAGATCTATATATATGTGTGTTAAACTACTTAAAAATGTTAACATAAAAGTATTGAAATTCCAAGTGGACTAATAATTCATTGACTACCACATGTTGTGGCAATAAATGGATATGTCTGGGTTTTCCAGACAGGGCGTTAATCTGTAGAAATACAGTAATTGTAATGGACTAATTGGATGCTTTCACCGTTAGATGCCTGGAACGCAGTGAAAGGCAAGCTGAGGGCCCATGACCTGAATATTTGATGTGGTTTGAAATGAATGGGGTTGTGTAAGAACAGGACTTTGTGGGGAGCGCCCTAAAATGCAAAAGGGCATTCCTTAACTAAGAGAGCAATAACTGAATAGGTTGTTCCCATATTTATCTTCACTTGTCTTACGTTAATATAAAACACCCAGTTTCAGTGGTATACGTCCATAATTCCACCCACCCCCTTTTCTGGTGTTTAAGGTTTCATATTGTGACAGTGGGAGAAGGGCTTATTTAGTGACAATGTTTTCTACACTGAGATGAACTCAAATGTCAGAAGAATTTGTGTGCAACGCCAAAGTGGCCTTCCTTAAATGATTTCTGAAGCATAACACAGAATACTGTTTCAGATGCACTGTATCAGCTATTACTGACTTCTTCCCAGACCTTTGAATAGAGATTCTTTAATTAGAGATGCTGAGATGGAATCAGCCATCTTCTACAAGCAGTATACATGCACCGCTCTGTCATTTTGTTTTGATCTCTTAAAATTGAAGCATCCAGAAATTCTTCCTTTTCTACTCATCCAGGGTGGGTGTTCTTGGTCCCTGGAACACAAAGCTTATAGTCCCCTCATGTGCACTTTTTGGAAAAGAGAAACAACATCACAAATCTTTCCAAAGAACAGGGACCTCCTCTTGTTCTCCAGGATACAGTACAAATGAGAAAAGACTCTGTTTCCTAAACATCTGGGCATGTCAGAGGATTTCAGGAAGAGGGGATTGGTGGCAAGTACAAGTGGTTGCTGGCTAGTAGTGCATGCAGTTGTTTGTGGACCCCTGGGAGGAGACAGCCACATATTAGTGAAGAAGAATTCTTAATTTCTAATAAAACCTGTGCCACCACTAATTCTACCTTCTTTCTTTTCTTGTAGCTTGGGGTTGGTGCTGACAGTGGACTGAAGCTGATATCATGATGGCAGAGAGAGACAACTTTTCACCTCTGCATGGACTGACTGAATATCAGTCAGTCAAAGAAGATGGGAAAAGTGATCAAAGCAGCAATGCTCAAACAAACGAAGAAAGTCAAGGAACAATGCAGCTGAAAAAAGAAATCTCTCTTCTAAATGGAGTCAGCTTAATAGTTGGAAACATGATTGGTTCGGGCATCTTTGTTTCCCCCAAAGGAGTACTGAACTATAGCACATCGTATGGATTGTCGCTAGTAATTTGGGCAATAGGGGGGATTTTTTCAGTTATTGGTGCTCTCTGCTATGCTGAACTTGGAACCACTATTACTAAATCAGGAGCCAGTTATGCATATATCTTGGAAGCCTTTGGAAGCTTCATTGCTTTTATACGCCTGTGGACATCACTACTAATAATTGAGCCAACCAGTCAGGCTATTATTGCAATAACTTTTGCTAACTACATCGTGCAGCCGGTCTTCCCTTCCTGTCAGCCTCCTTATCTTGCTTGTCGTCTTATTGCAGCTGCTTGTATATGTAAGTATGTTGTGGGTGTAGAAGTTTGTGTGTGTATAACATTTGGTTAGGCCTGAAGCTTCTCAAAGCCTGAGGAAAAGAAAAACCCAACTGAGCATCATCTGAAAAGAATCTGCAATTCAATGGTACAGGATGCTTCAAGGAAAATAACCAGCAGAGGCAGCAGGAAGGGATTGCATGGGTGCTTATTGTTTGCCTTGAAAGGTGTAAAGCATTTGCAAGCCATATGAAGTATTTGTCCTCTCCTTTCACTGTTCCTAAACCCATAAACCTATTTTATTTTGATTATTTATTTAATTTCTATCATGCCTTTCTCTCCTTGTAGCCAAGAAAATATTTAAAAATCCACAAATAATTTAAAACATAGGAATTAAATTTTTAGAAGTGTGACATATAAATAATTAAATATTATTAGTAATTAATATTAATTAATATTAAATATTATTTAAGAATGATAAAACAGAATTTAAAAGCCCACTGAAACTTTCCATCTTAGTTGTCTTTTGGCTCCCCCAAAAAGTAGGTCTTCCATTGCTATTAAAAGGAAAGGAAGGAAGAGGGTAACCACAGTTCCATAATTTAGGATCACCCGTAGAAAAGTAATCTCTCAAGTCCTCACCAGACGTGCTCGTGAAACTGGTGGGACGAAAACACTTGCCTGAGAGTCATAACGTTCATTAGGGCTTGTATAAAAAGAGTAGGCAAGCATGCCCGTATTGTTAAAATGCTGCACAGATGCTCATGATAGATAACCCTTGTCTTGGTTGGCCAACAAGAGGAATATGTTTTGACTTAAAGGCAGAAAATCATTGCTAGACTATGCAGGTCTGAGGTTTCTTTAGCACAGCCTTTCCCAACCTGATGCCTTCCCAGCTGTATTAAACTGTAGCTCCCAGAATGCTCTGTCCATTTTTTTTTTCAGAATCCTCTGAGGTAGGCCCTGTTCCAGGTGACTGAAATCCGTGTGTGTGTGTGTGTGTGTGTGTGTAAGAATCTATAGGCATGTGTCTGTGGGCTGGAACTCCCAGAATTCTGTCTGGAGAATTATTGGAGAATTCTAAGAGTTGTAGTAGTCCAAAAAAGGAAAAGAAACACACTTGGCTGCAAGGTATAGATTGCAGAAACTTTGTGGGCAGAGCTTTATGCTCAGCTGGCAGGATAATGGGCTGTATTTCCTGAGAATGATCAGAAGAATGGGAAACTATGATTACAGCAGAATTCTGGATTTCACTGAGCTGTTCTGTTTGTGTAGGAGAAAAGGTTGTTCGTTTTTATTAAGCTGGGATACATTTGTGGGAAAGCAGCCATTATCTTCTCTCACCTCTTTATTTTCCCCTTATTTTAAGCAAATGTGACTTTAACTTTATTGTGTTAAGTGTTTGAAATCTTGTGTTTTCTTTTCCAAGCTTAAGTTAACTACAGCCATGCTGTATTTTCTGATTCTGTTTTTAGACCTTAGAATCAGGGCAGTTTTCAAAGCTAGTTTTTAATTGGTTGAATTTCAGTGCAAGTGGCTTGGATTCTGACTGAGAAACACTCCAGTTTGTCTGTTTTTTCATATCAGAATTAGAGTGATTTTAGTATATTTGTGGGGAAGAACAAGAGATTTGAGGTGTACCTTGTACATTTAAAGAGACTTGCAGCTTTTGTGAATAGTACTTTGATTTCCTGCTTGCAAGAGATAGTGAAGACAGAGCTCCTTTCCTGGATTCAGTGATGTTTTAGAGAGCATTATTCACAGCTGTATACAACAGGGTTGTTTCAAGTGTAGGAGTACACATAATTCTCATGCAATCTTTGTATAGACCTATGAACTTAGGAATTGGGTAGGACAAAGGAGCTGTGGATGGAAACCAGTAAACAGTCTCCTGTTATATGGAGGAGGAAGGATTTCATAATTCTCTTGTTTACTGAGAAGTTTTGTAAGTTCTTTTTTTAATAAAATGCTCCCTGTGTGCCTAGTTTGGCTAGTCAAATAGGCCTGGCTTAACAGAAACAACTTGTGCTGCAGGGAATGATAGTAATAATGATGCACTATGCAGCCTTTAGAAAGGTTACTTTTAGTCTCATTTGAAAATGTGACTCTCAGCTGTTCATTTCCTAGCATTGTAAAGGACATGCTGTGTCTAATTATACAAGGAACGCTGCAACCATTCAGCCCCTGGTCTTTTTAGTCAAGTTTTATTCACCTAATTGATAGTGTGTGGGACTTGTTAGTAAAGGATGGAACATGCAACAGTTTTCTACCATTGAGGTTATGTGAAAACCTTCCTCATTTAAGAGTATGCATGAAATACATACACTGAATTCTTTCTAAGAATGAACATAAGCCCTCTCAGACATGGGAATCAATGCTGCCAAGTGGGTAAAAGAAAATACAGTTTAATTTTGAACTGCATTTTGTTGCTATTATGCATTTACAATGTTAAATCCTTCTGACCAAATATGAAACCCTAACCCAGAAGGACTAATTATAAATGGTTGCTTCCCCCCCCCCCAACATAGTGATCCCCTGATGGTCCCATGGAAAAGATCTTTGGGGGGGGGATGAACTGCTGATTAGTGATGGTATCAGATTTATATAGAACCATGGAGGAAGTTAGTACAGTGCACTGAAATTGTACTAATTTCATCAGGTAAATTTAATTCCAGCACTAAATCTGTCTTGCCTCTAATAAGTGATTTACTTCCGTAAAAAGAAAAGGCCCGGATTTCCTAGAGAAAATTCTTCTTTCATCATTCTAGGTTTCCTTTTTTGTTTGTTTTGGAAAATATTAATTTGGTGTCTGTTTTTTTTAATATTGAGCAATGCTGGTATTGCAAAGGATATAGTTTTATGTAGGGCAGAGATTTTCTCCAATCCTTTTCATTGTTTAAGCTACATTTATTAAATACCATTTATTTTTTATTTTATTTGTTAAATAAAACAGATCCTTCAGACTGTGGTTGAAGGCATCACAAACTTGTGGGCTCAAATGCTATCTTGTCCTTTTTAAAATGTTGATTCACTTCCTATTCCTGTATTGAAACCATAGTTTGAAGTAGGTTTGGAAATTGGGATTAGATGCTGTCACTAACTGTAATCTGGATGATTTCAGCATTCTAGGATGTTTTTATTTGAGCAACCTGAAAATGGAAGAACCAAGAGAAGGGGAAAACTACATTTTACTGTTACGTCAAATCATTATTTACTTGCTATCTAATTCAGTTACTATTTTTGGAAAGCATTTCTAATGGAGAAAGAGATTGTATTCTTGTTTATGTAAGTCATAACATAGAAAACACATTGCCTTGTGTAAAAGCTGATGTTTCAGGTTTGAATTGCTGTAGCATTAATTACTACTTCTGCAGAACTGACTTCACATAATAGTCTTTTTCTGTGCCTAGTTTTACTAATAGCAGTTTCAACCAAAGTTTTTCATAATAAATAATTGTGTTTTTGGAGTGTACCACACAGACAATTGCTTAATTAAGAAATGTTTCAAGAGTATATAATCATTTGATACATATTTTAGTATAAATTAACCAACATGAATTTGACCCAACTCTGGGAGGCAGTGGAAAACAGGAGGACCTGGTGTAATCTGGTTCATGGGGTTACAAAGAGTCGGACAAAACTTAACGACTAAACAACAAACACTAAACTATGTAAAAGCAGAACTGCCTTTGAGCTTTCCTGCTGTCCACATCCCATTTCGTTTTAAAAGCAAAGAAATCCTAAACGTACTGTCCTTTTTATCATATAGCAGAGTACCTTACTTGGTGCTTCTTCTTTTTTAACAAGAACATTGTTAAAAAGAAATGTTTTCCAGTCTTCTGTAGCATACAAGTTGTTGATTATGAGATGACATTCTTTGGAATAATGTTTAGATTGGACTTGAGCCATGGATTTCCATGGCTTCTAGATGCTCTCTGTAAAGCATGTGTGTTTCCTGAAGCCCTCTCTTGTCTGTAGTTCACTCTTAACACATTTTTAGGTTATCACAATTAAGAGATTATATTACGAGCACCTTTAAGTGATGTAGTTCTTCTTAACCCAGCCTGTTACGCTTGTTAGCATTAATACATAGTTGTGACATGTTAATCCTGGCACAGAACTGCATTTCATGCCAGTGCCTGATTTAAAACAACCACAAACACTGTCTAATGCCTCCGTTGCTTCCCTTTTTTTTGTCTCTTAGGTCTTCTAACGTTTATAAATTGTGCTTATGTTAAATGGGGAACAAGGGTGCAGGATGCATTCACCTATGCCAAAGTCATTGCCCTAATTGTCATCATCATAACAGGAATTATTAAACTATGCCAGGGTAAGATTTATAGCTTAATGTAATGATGTTTGTATTGTTCCAGAAGGGAGAGGGAAATGCTGTGGAGTACCTGTTTCATTATTTGTGGGGGAAAAAAGACCACCACAATTTTCTGATCTCCTCAAAAACTGGACTGATCGACAGTAGCTATGCTAATCAACTTTTCAACTAGACTAACATCTTTTTATAAAAAAATAGAATTTATATCTTCATGTGCTTTTAATCAGGTATTAAAACAGAACTGATAATTAGAGCCCTCAGAAACATAATGACTTAACATGAATCTGATCATGCCTAAACTTCTAATATTGCATATGGTTTTACTTTGAAGTTTGAAAGTATAAATATATGCATGGAAGAAAGGGCTTCTAAAACTCATTCCCTTTAGTGTTATTTGTTTGCTGTGAAGAAGGATTAGGTACCTCTGTAGCTGCTATTTTATTAAATTAAAATGACATATCAGCATGGTTTTGCATATAGTTTGATCTTGGCTAGTAACAAACATAGTAAATTTATTAAATAAATATTGTTCATTTATATGCCATCATTTTTCTATCACACAATTCAAGGTAGCATACATAGGTTCCTAGGTGGTTCCTTCCAGGCACTAACTGGACAAAACCAGCTTCTCTTTAGCAGCAGACTGCAAGCAGGGGTCCTGAGACTAAACCTTGGGACTTTTTACTTACTTCATGCAGTTTGAAATATTTGCACAGTTAGTAATCTTGGAAGAATTATGTACTAAAGGTCTTTGAAGCACTGACTGCGTGTATAGTTTAAGTTTTTGCAGATTTTTTGAGAAGTGGAAAAATCCAGTGATAATTTGGAATTTATTTGGAATGTCTAAAAATACATTTAGAGAGGCAGGATTTTGTCAGTAAAAATATCATTTTCTGTCTCCAAAACTGTATATTTTGCCTGAACTGTATGTGCAAAGAAAATGTTTTGATTAGCAGTGTGATCCTCTGCTTTATGATTCCTTTCTAGTGACTACTGCACTAGGTATGTACTGCTAGGCATGTACTGCTGTATGTAACTAACACCTATTGTTAGCCATGCTTTGAGTGAATTTTAACCCAGAGTATCTTGAATTCAAGTAGAAGAGTATTGAGATATTGAAATCCGAGTCAGGAGGTGAGGCTGAGGAGCCTGACGCCGAGGGAGGCCCGGAGGGAAAAGACACGAAGCCGGGCCTTCTTGGCGGTGGCTCCTCTGCTTTGGAACAACCTTCCTCCGGAGATTCGCGAGGCCTCTATGCTGGGTACTTTCTAATGCCAGCTGAAAACATGGATGTACATCCAGGCCTTCCCTCCTGTCAACTACTGATTTCTTTGCTATTTATTATTTATTTATTCCTGTACTATTTGTTATTGTTGTATGCTAATGTTTTTATGTTTTTTTAAAATTGTTTTGATATTCTGTAAGCCACCCAGAGTGGTAGATGGGCGGGATATCAAACAAACAAACAAATAAATAAATAAATAAATAGTAGAATTACTATATAGTAGATATTTATGAAGTAAAAATTAGAATATAGTTATTAATGTCACAGTGCCATAGATCATGCTGGTATCTTTTTTCTTTTACAACATAGCTCTGTGATAATTGCACAATGTATGAATGGATAACATACAAATGCAAGGTTTGTATTTGAGTCTCTAAGATGTTAAGTTACCAGTAACTCACATGTCAGTGCTATCTCTTCCTGAGATGTTGCACAGTGTCTTCAGTCCAAGTGAGTAGACCATGATATACTGTAGAAGATGTATCAGTGGCTAAAATCGAATCGGAGAAAAGTCACTTGGACAAAGGTAGTTTGCACAGCAGTTTTTCCCTCCTGCCAGCTCTGTACACACCCACGTTTGCAGCTAATGTGACATCAAGTACAGTATGTCAATATGAATATATGTGGGAGGTGAGGGAGAGATGATCACCCTTATGTGATCATATAAGCAAATAGGATTCATTTGCCTTGGTTTCAAAAAGAGCTATGTGGTGTGCAGGATTGCTGTTTGTTAAATGGAATCCCAAAATCCCTCTAAGTTTGAAATTGTTTTGTCAGTTCTTTGACTATATCATGATCCGTGGAATAGACATATTTTCTGTCACATTCCCAGGTTAAAAAAGGTTGTTATGTTTTATTATTGTATAGCAACATCAAGATTTTTCTTTCAATGACTATGTGTTTTGAAAATATGGCTACAAATATATTTTTGTCATAGAGAAGGGAAAGTAATGAGAAGTGATGTCTTTGGAGTTTTGTTTGTACACCCTTGCTGTCACCATACTGGAAAAGATCAGAAGTTTCTGTTTGGCCAAATATATCCATTATATCAAACATGGAAATACATTAAGTAATTTAGGTGATTTCTTACAATTAAAATGTCAGCGTGGAGGGCTTTGGGCCTTCCACCATACATATGATTGAATAAGCATGTTCAGCTTACGTGTGAATAAGTGATGTGCTCTGTTTGAATGTCTGGTAGGGTGTATGGATTTGCAGCTGCTCATTTTAGTACTTGCCAGCTGGCTCTATATCATCACCAAAATAATGGCTCATCAGACAAAGAACCCAAAACATAAAAAACAGAACAAAGAAGAAAACCCAGGCAAAAATGTAGTGGCACCTTAAAGACGAACTGAAGGGGATTTGAACATGAAAGTTCACCTTGAAATATAGCAGTTCATCTTTAAGGTGCCAAAAAAGGTTTTATCTGTTGATTTTGGTTTGTGTGTTGTTGTTATTGTTTTCCCCTGATACACCTCCATGGAATAACATGGCTATTTCTTTGGAAAATAATGGCTGCGATCCAAAAGGCTGTTTTTGTTTTTAAGTGACATCTTGTGCAAAGTTGGGAACTTTGCACATTTTGGTTGTTTGTGTATATTGTGCAGAGCAACTCCATATGATCAGTCAAGTAAAACACATTCCAAACTGAATGATAGTTTGGGTTTTCAACTGTGGGAACCTTTTGGAAGATGGAATTTCCTGGCTACAGATTGCTTTTCAGATTTTGAGCAGTGTCTTATAATCCTTGCATGTGTGTACATGCCTGTTTAATAAACAAAATCTTAGAGCCAAAACATACCCAACTTCCCTCCTCCCCAGGTAAAAAGCCATTCCAAGATGGCATGGGAATTAAATCCTGAACCTACTCAGCTTTTCGCCTCAGTGGCCCTTTACACTACAAAAATGTGCATGTTAATTGATCATATACAACTAATTTCATATTAGGTTGGTCCTGATACTTTAAAGTATAGTAGTTCTAATGTTAGCTTCATCTCCGAGGCAATCCTTTTATTACTTAAAAGCAATCTGTCCTGTATTTGCAAATAGTTGACAAGTTTGCATCTAAAAATAAAGATCATTCTGCACATTACCCTTTAGTCCTTCCCCATCTATTGTTCAGCTTTGAACAGCAGAGCTTGCTGACCTGTTTTTCCTAAAGCTATAATATCCCAGCTACTGTAGATTCATCAGGGTTCCCCCCCTCCTTTTTATTTTAGATATTTGTTCCAGTTTATTTTGGAAGCCTTCTTACTATGCTGACTTGAGAAAATAGAAAACCTGCATTTCCACTATCTTGAAAATGCATTTAAAAAACTATTCGTACTTTGTGTACTGAGAAAATCTTATATGCATAGTTTTTCCATCATCTGTTAGGTTGGTGCAGAATAGTAACATAACAAAATGTTTTTCTTCTGATAATATCCTTGCAACTTCATTCTGTCTTCGAATGTGGTTGCTGTCACATCTTGCCTGTGCTTTATAGGGAGACAAAAGGAAAAAAAAGCTGTTAGAGAGTGAGTATGGCTAAATGAGTTGGGAGCCTGGCTGCAGAACTAGGGGCTAGGTATTCAAATTCCCACTGGGCTTCTGGGAGAGGCATCAGCCAAGGTCACACCAAGAGTGTGTGGCTGATGTATGCATGAGTACCTTGCCACCTGTGTGATCTTGGGCAAGCTGCACAATCCCAGAGTGCTACTGAAGGAAAGGGCTAGTAAGCTATTTCCAATTATTTTATGCCTGACAAAATCCTGGGAGGGTGACTATAAGGTGGAATGAGGAACAAAGAATTTATTAATTCAAGGGGTAAAATGAATCGAATTAGCAGGACATGCACACATGTATATTGTCTATTGATGTGTTGCCTTGTTCCTATATTTTAAATTGATTATTTTATATGTTCTTAGCCACCCAGAGTAGTCAGTTGACTAAATGGGCGGGGTATAAATTCAATAAATAAATAAATAAATAAATAAATAATGCCATCTTAATTTTGTAACAGAGATGTCATGGCATTGTTTCTGAAATTTATATAAAATAAAACCATAGTAATTTGAAAGACTGGTTTGTAAAGCTTCTTTTAGCCAGCTTGAAATTCAAAGAAAAATACAAAATCAGACAGTATTGATAATTTTTGTAATGGAGACCGGTCATAGTCTATTAATGTATCATCTCTCCAACATTCCTAGACTTTGCTGGGTTAGTGTCAGCTCAGCTGGCTCTCAACTGTCTTTGCTAGTTAGGATTGCACTCCTAATCTCATTTTAAGAGCACCCTAGTTTGTCCTGTCCCTGAAATCATAGTACACTTACTTCCAGGTAAAGTATCTCATTGAAAAAACTGAAGTTGTGCTGACCCCACAGGAAAAGTATTTTTAGTATCAAACACAGTGTCATGAAACACAAGAAGCAGAATACTTCTTTGGGTTCATGTTAAGTACTACAAGTAAAGATGCTTTCTCACTTGCCTGTATTGATCAGCCCCATCACCTATTCCTTTCTCTGTACTTCAATACTACTTTCGTTTGTTTCTAGACGACTGTAACCGTGTAAGCTCATACTGCTCAAGTATACTTGAGTCCCCTCTTCAAGAGAAAGGCAGTCTACAAATGAACATACATATATACATACATCCTTTATGAAGAGAAATGAATAGTAATTAAAGGTTGGTGAAGACCTTGTATGTAGAGGGTAGAAGCAGAAGTAGGTCTTGATTTAGAGTATGCTTTCTTTATGCACATTTCCAAGGAAGTCCCCTATCGAGGTGTTAAAATAGACATATACCTTTGGGAATAATTGTACAGGGAGAACCTTTAGTCAATACCCTGCAGGCTCTTGTATAGCAGGGGATGTTGGTATTATTGATGCCATCATTTTTCCAGAGGAAACTTGAACAAGCGGTTATGATCTTAGTGTCCTGCTCTTTTTGTGTTTGGCTGTTTTCGCTTTTCCATAAGATGAGTTGTTTAGATGATTCAAGAGGAGTTAATGTTCGGACAATGATGATCTGTTTTTCTTTGCAATTATCTGTTACTACATGATAACGATAATTGATAATCATTTATAATGAAAATGGCAAAGAAGAAATTAACGTAAGACAATTATTGTAAGTATTTAGTCTGAGCTAAAACTGGTACAGTAGTGGCGAAAAAGAGAGCCGAGCTTTCTTGGAAATCAGGGATGCTCATGGCTTTAAAAGGCAGACTGCTGGGTAAAGATAGAGGGTGTAGCCTATACGTGCAGTGGAATGAATTGGTAGAGTGGATGGACTGTGTCAGTTCAATATGTTTTCATAAGTATGTCTCAGTATGTAACATGTGAACACCCATCCCTTTTATTTTGTTGTATGCTGTATAACAGCAGACTTTGTTTGTGGTCTACTTAAAAGAACTTGAGACTCTGTTTCATTCTTTTTGGCTCATTTCCCAGTCATGTTTATAGAGTAACAAGTTTTCATCCTGTATGTCCTAATATGGTTTCCCTGCTTCTCCTTGATACACAGGATACTCACAACACTTTCAGGATTCTTTTGAGGGATCATCTTGGAACCTCGGAGGCATTTCTCTTGCACTTTATTCTGCCTTGTTCTCTTACTCAGGTTGGGACACCCTCAATTTTGTAACTGAAGAAATAAAAAATCCAGAAAGGTAAAAGCATAATGAAGCTATTGCTTTATTAGATATTTTTGAAGTTGCTCACAAGGGGTTGTCACTGAACATTTGTTCTGAGCTGATGGGACTCAATGGGCTATCAGATGAACATATAGCTCATTTTTGGTTCACTTTTGATATAATTTGGTTTGCAGTATTTTCCAGTGACCGGGAGTATTTTAAGCAAGAGGAACCCTTCCTGCCCCTTTTGTGAGCTGTTCCACTCCTTTCTGGCACAGTGTTGGGGCTGTAGTTTATTTGGTTCAGTTGGGAGTGCTCCTGATTATCCTGTTCTGCAGTCTGTGTTCACTTCCAAATAGAACTGTGGGCAGCATTCTCTTCAGTGACAACCTTCTGACATATGTATTGGGTTGCGACAATAGAAAGGACAGCGGAGAGACCCTCTCCTCTATTACCACTATTTTCCTCTCCTCACAATTTTTTAAAAATATTTTCCTAAGTCATGCAATGCTATTTCTGATATAAGGCAATATCCATGCTAGGTTGATGTCTTGCTATAGCGTACTGCCACTTACTAATTTTTTTTAAAAGGGGGAGTTTTGTGACCTGTGGAATGACAGCTGCGTCAAAAGGCAAGGATAGAAGTGGGGGAGAGGGTGTCAAATAATTTTAAATGATCTGGTATTTTGTCTGGATTCTTCTCAAAAGAGAGAAAAAAAGCAAAAGCCAAGTGTGCTGCTTATATACCACCCCATAGTGATCAAAGTACTCTCTGGGTGGTTTACAATTTAATTATGCAGGCAACACATTGCCCATACCCTCCGCAAGCTTCGTACTCAATTTACCAACTTTGGAAGGATGGATGGCTGGGTGAACCTTGAGCCAGCTACAGTATCTGGGATTGAACCTGGGTTGTCAGCAGAGTTTTGGCTGTAGTACTGCAGGTTAAGCACTGTGCCATGAGGCTCCTCAGAAGAAGACTCTTGTATGAATGGAAGAATCACTCAAGTGCAAAATAAAATAGACCACATGAAAATAAGAATCTTCTAAATGTGATCTAAATTGTTCCAAATTTCCCCATCTAATCAAGTCCTCAGTAACTGGGGAAACATTTTTCACTCACGTTAACTGCATTCGACCCTAACAGTATAACGAACAAACAACAAGATTATGAAGTTTAAGAGCAGCTTGTTAAAAGAAAGCTCAGCTAGCTCTAGGAAAATGTGTATGGTTTCCAACTTGCGGGAATGACACAGCAGAGCCATACACAACTAGATTTTGTAATCTAAGTAAGTAATATTGAGTTATAAATTAAAGCTGCATGTAGTTCTGTTCTAGGAAATTTTAGAAATATTTCCAAATTTGTCAATTTAAATTCATCATAGTTTTCTGAGAGTTAATGTGAGAACTCTTGGGGGATGGCATAGATACACAAATATGCACTCTAACCCTTCTGCTCTTTGTTAGAGTTGTCACTAAGATGATAAACCTTGTCTAAATTGAAATCCCCACTCAATTAATCTGCTGTATTGGGAATCTTAGTTTTCCTAGGAATCTACAGTCTAAATGTAATTGTAAGTAGCCGATATACCAAATTTCAAGCATGTATGCCATGGTAACTTCTAAGTTGTTCATTGTTTTTATTTTTTGTTGAACCAGGAACCTGCCTTTGGCTATTGCTATATCTATGCCAATTGTGACTATTATCTACATCTTGACCAACATAGCTTACTATACAGTGTTGGATATTAATGCTATCCTTTCCAGTGATGCAGTGGCTGTGGTAAGTCTGATACAGACATATATTTGAGTATTTCACTTAGTATGCCTGTCTCTTTGAGGAAATTCAGATCCTTTCTGAGGTTCTGGTGCTTCAGTATCTATACGATCTACAGTTTGGGCTCATTATTCCTGGTTTTCTGTACTTTTCAAGTTCAGCACCAAGGGGGATTAGATAATTAATTAGACCTAAGTCACTTGACAGCTAAGCCAGATCAACATTCTTTAGAAATGTATTTTGGAACTTTATATAAATAATGTGGTGATTAACTGGCAAAGCTGCATTTTCCCCAAAGCTCAGTTTTAATTACCAGAATCAGTCGGACTTAGACTTGAGTCATGACTTGTAGTTCAGATCACTTTCACAGTTTAGTTAGTTCCAACTAGAATAGATCCATTGATTCAACAGGATTTACACACATTGTCATTCAAACTTTGATTCAGCGGGCTTGCTCTTCCTTAGAGTTAGTAGTAGGATACTGGCCAGTGAAAATTAAGGGGAACGGTTGTAATCACAATCTTTGCCCTGGCTGTGGCTTAAGGCTCACAATATTGGTCACTTATACTGTAAAGAATTTCTTTATATGAAAGTGTTGTCATATTTGTGATGCACGAGGTCTGGGGTATGCCTTTACTCAAGCGGAACAGCCACTACTAGCATGTTCTAGCTTTGAGCTGATTGAACCCTGGATAAAGTGTATTGGCAAGGGATGCTGCGTCAAATAGTGTGTGCTGTCCAGCCCATTACTGAACCTGGTAATGATGATCAGGGCTATCTGCTAACTTATCCAATCACTCCTGGTAGCATAAGGTTACAAAAACTTGCAGCGAACATTCTTCCTGGAGCCCCTCAAAAGCCTAGCACCAGTACACCTTTCCCCACCCCCAGATAGCACAAACCATTTTGGACACTATGTGAAAGATGTACAAAATAAACTCTTGTACTTTCTATACCATTGCCATCCTGCATTATGTTTTTTCTTTTGATTGTGTTGAAATATGTTGAAAAAGATACTCGTTATCTTAATTCTCATCTCTTCACTTGGCTAGATGTGGAAATGTCTAATATGTGTGGACTTTTTGATCAGGCATTAGCTGTTCTTCACTATCTAATCCTAACATTGTTATGATGGCTAAAACTCTTGATGTGTTAAAGGCTTGCATTATGATCAGAGCAGTGTGCTCTTTAAACAAGTATGATTCTTTAGGGTCTCTGAGTTAGTGTTCACACAAATACTTGAATATCTTTCTTGTACTGCAGCTATTTTATTCAAATGTGTGCTGCAACAGAAAAAATGTGTTTTTTGCTGACTGAGGAAATGGGAGTTGGGGGTGCTTTGCCTCTTCTTTAAAGAGGCAAAGCACCCCCAACTCCCATTTCCTCATTCAGCAAAAACCTTTAGTAAGCCAGCTGTAGTTTTCATCCTCAAGGAGCTGTGAAGGTTAGAATTTTGTTTGCTGTGGCCTCAAACTTAGGTAATACAGGAGATGTGGCTGGCATGAAAGAAACAGCTTTGGGTCTCCTGTTACTCTTTTCCTGCCAGTGAAGTGTAGTTAAACAAAATGGATGATGTGCCATCATAGGAGTCCAGGTTTATTCATGGCGTTTCGTTAACTGCTTTTTGAGATGAGAAACTTTGAACACAAGGATGTTGGGTGTGACCTGCTGTAGTTTACCAAAGGCAGCCACGCTAGTCTTACTTCAGCAACAACAGGACAGGAGGTACTGAGGTGCCTTTAGAATTGGATTGTTATCCATGACAGGTCAATCAGAAATAAATGTTAAAGGTGCCACAATACATTTGCTTTTGTTTTATGGCTTATTTTACTGGAAAGTGCTTGGGAAGGGATGAGGAACAGATGTGTGGGGTTGCTGTATTGAGTGTAATGAAATACAATCTATTAGAAACCTGGAACCTGGTTATGAACCAGTGTTCAAAATATTGGGAGAATATGTTCTTATCTTGCATACGTTTGTTTACACGTTCGCAAATAAAATCTCCTTCCCTCAAAAATCTGGAAGTCCTTTCATACACAACTTTGGCTGCTTTATTCTTCTTAGCATAGAAGAACCCCTTTAAAAATAAGTCAGTATGATACTCCTGAAACGGAAGTGTCTTGGAATAATATAACTCATGGCACTGTAGCTGTATCACAGATGCAGAATGGTGTAAAAGCCATATACTTTGCCTTAATAGTCGTAGTTGTATAAGAGAATCTAAGTGACATGTCACTCTAATTCAAACAATAGTTCCCGAGAATCTTTGGCGAATTTCTTATAGATGAGTATGGTACATGCTACTTCAGGCTCTTCTTGATGCATCTAGGAAACCTAGGCTTATATTCAATCCATTTATATGGGTATCATCAAGTGTAGAAATTGTATCTTGGCTGTTTCCCTCTGCATTCTTGATTAGTAACGATTCTATTTTTGTTTCTTTGGATTTTGTCTGTTACGCTTGCACAGACTAACACAGCTACCTCTTCCAAAACTACAACTGAGTTCTTCAAATTATGTTTTAAAACAAAGTTCTTAATTTTTTTCACAGTTTGATTATTGTAGTGAAATTAATCTAGGATAGTGTTCCAAGTATAACTGTTTCAGACTCAAAGACTCAGTCAGAAACTCCTGGCATCCCATGCCTTCCTTCCCATTTCATTAATATCTGTCTGGTGGTTTTGGCTGCTGTTAAGGTGAAATTTGCAGATGTGTGTGCTTATTTGTGATTTAATCTTTCTAATTAGAAGGGTTATTGGGGCTTTAGCCTTAATCAGATTTCTTTATTAATCCACTTACTCCATTTTTTTACTACTTTCTGGCCTCGGTTCAGGAGAGGTTGCATTCCTGGACTTGTCAAATCATAGTGTAAATGACTGAAATATTTTAATGCTTCTTACTCTTCAGGCTTCCTCAGATTCTGTGACTTGGACATGATAGCTAAGTTATAGTTTTCCTTGTGTCTATACTAGCCCAATACAGTATCTTCTCCCAGTGTGCAAATGTACTGGAAGTTCCCTGTAAACCATGGTTTGGGAGCTAGTCTCAGTGGTATACAGTACTGGCTTTCATCTTCCTTTTCTGAATCGGTGTCTCTCCTCCCCTTTTCTCCTAAAGACACAAATCTAACCTTGTGTTTCATAACCATGGTTTGCAAATTCACTTCAGATAATTCGTTCAGTCTTTGATATGAATTGCATGATGACACTGCACTTGTAACTCCACACTGTGGTTAACACTGGGAACAGCAGTGAAAAAAAATGTTCGCGGTGGAGGAAAGGGGTAGACATCTAACTGGTTAGTCCCCAGTTTCAGTCTGCAGATATGGCTTGGAAGAGGCCAGTTTATATCTGTACTGGCACAATTTGGATTTTCTCCTGGTTTTTAAATTCTGTAATGGTGTATAGTGGCCTTCCTGCAAAGCACTTCCAATAGAAGATGTGACAGTGCAGGCATACTGCTTTACATGCTCTCTCTGTGAAGAACAATGACATGAGAGAAATACAGTGATACTGACAGACCTTTTTCTACCCACAGTTGTTTGAGAATATAAAATGTTCCACTTGGTTTTGGAGAAAAGGGGAGTATCTTGGGTGTTACTGAGGAGATGACAGCAGCAGTAAAGAATAAGGGTAATAATCAAGAAAGTATAGAGCACAATAAAAAGTCTCAATAAAAATAGTTGGGACAGGAGGGCGTATTACTTTCTGAGACACTTGGACAAACAAGCTGCTGCCTCTTTATCTTGAGCATCTAAAAGCCAAGTATTCATTGAATCATTTCACTCAGTGCTGCCATGGACCCAGTCTACTTTATTATCTTTTTTATAATTTGATATGCAGCATAGTGCCTACATGAGGAAGAAAAGATGAATCATACTGCAGACTGCCTTTAGCTTTCTAAGTAGTAATTTCAAATTGAATTGCTCACTGAAACTCAGTTTGACTGGAGCCGAACTTCAGAACTGGGCACAAATCTTTTCCGTACTTTTTGTTAATCACTTGTTCTCACTCAGTGTTACTGGTTAAGCATTTCTTGAAGGTGTTTTACACTAAGCTGTTACTTTGTTTGGGTGTATATTCAACATACTCTATTTTTCCTCCCCCCCCTTTTATTAGACATTTGCTGAGGAGGTATTCGGCAGTTTCAGCTGGACAATTCCAACTGCTGTAGCCTTGTCTTGTTTTGGTGGACTCAATGCATCTATTATGGCATCATCAAGGTAAAGTATTTCTAATTTCATATATTGAAAATTATACATTTGATTTTAATTGGCAGGCGTGTTTGTTAACTAGAAATATTTTGTAACAAACTAATCCAAACAAATATTTTTATTTCCAAAGCATTAGTCACCTTGAAAATTGCCTCTTTTTCTTACATGTATTTTGGGCGATCCTTCTGTAAACACTTGCATGTATAGTTACCTGGTTAGTTTATCGTCTGATGAAATTTTAGGTACAAAAATAACATGTTTGGATTCTTTTGAAATATTTCTATGGAATGTCAGAAAAGAACAGAGGAAATAATAGGTATGAAATGGGTGAACTGAAGAGAAAACACGATGAGTACCAAACAGATTTGGAATCCTTGGCTGGGTCTGAAAACAGAATTGGGAGGGCTGAATGTAAAATCCCTTTTCTTCCCATGCTTCTTATAGGCCTTGCTTGCACACACACATCTGTTTGCTCAGGACAACAAATGGCAACACACCATTTGAATGCTCTTTTGTATAAAAATAAGGCAAGAAATCACTAGGCGATGCCTGAATAGTTCACAATTACACAGAACGCATCAAGGTTATTGGCTGTTTCTGTCTGTTCCTTCAGATCAGAAAACTTTAGCTTTAACACAAACCATGGAGGGATATCTTGGGTGCTGATCTTACTGTGTTTCCCCGAAAATAAGACAGGGTCTTACATTAATTTTTCCTCCAAAAATGCATTAGGGTTTATTTTCAGGGGATGTTCCCCCCCCCCAATGTACAACCATCTACATTTATTCAAATGCAGTCACGTCATCTTCTTCTCGTTGCTGCATAAGGGTGAAGGGCGGAGTTTCACTCAACTAGGTCTTATTTTTGGGGTAGGGTTTATATTACGAGCATCCTGGAAAATCATACTAGGGCTTATTTTCAGGTTAGGTCTTATTTTCAGGGAAACGGTACCTTTAGTTCAGGTGTGAGCTGTGGAACCTGTCACTTTTTTTTCTAGATTGTTCTTTGTTGGATCCCGGGAGGGTCACCTGCCTGACCTCTTGTCAATGATACATATAGGGAGGTTTACGCCAGTTCCCGCACTTCTTTTTAATGTGAGTTATTTGCTGTTGCTCTTCCATAAAGATGTTTCTGTTATGAATCTATCTAATGAGGAAGGTGGATAAACCTTTTAGTGATACCTATTACAGTATGCCTCTGTTGAAATGGAAGAATGTTCACTTTCTCCACAGCTTCAGAATCCTTTTCATGAGGATGATGGGCAGAGCTGATAGAATTTCTAAAATTTTGTAACTTGCTCTGTTCGTAAAATGCAAAACTTAATTACGGCATCTTCTTGTCTGCTTCCAGTGCTAGCTTAAACCAATATAGGATATAATTTGTATGTTGCCTTTACATAAAGGAAACTGCACCCAAGGTGGTCAAGATATACTCATTAAACAAATAGCATTAATAACAACAATATGGGGGGGGGTCAATAAGCATTTATAAACACATGGGGAAGTGAGGCTGCTAGGAAAATGGATGTCATCTTATTGTGGAGCAGTTACTAAGGAGGTCTGTGTTATTTCAAAGTATGCAGAGTTAGCCTTTAAAAGAGAGTTTTTAGACAGTATGGAGGATTGTAGTGCAATCTAGGAAACGAAGCCCTCTCTGGTTAGTTTATCGTCTGGTTTCTATTCAAATCACAGACATCTTACTATGCCAGAAGAGCTTGCATTAGTACAAGTTCTGAGAGTGCAGTTAGTGACACAGAGACTGGAGAAATACCTGTCTTGGAAATTTTCACGGTGTTCTCTTATCTTCCCTAACAGTGTACTATGTCCCTCATATACTTGACTGTTGAAGACGTCTTCCAGCTTATTAACTACTTCAGCTTCAGTTACTGGTTCTTTGTGGGATTATCAATTGCTGGGCAGCTCTACCTCCGTTGGAAGCAACCAGACCGGCCCAGGCCACTCAAGGTGACTATAATATGTGTGTGTGTGTGTATGTGTGTGTGTGTGTGTACATGTACACAAACATACACACAATTTCTTAGACAGGGTACACCATTCTTTGTAAAGCAGATGTTACTTTAGCAGCCTTAGCGTGTTGGGTCCAGTAAACATTTAGAATGAGCAGAAGGTTGTTGCCAGAAAGAATGACCATGAAAGAAGTAAAAAAAAAAAATTCAGAGTGTGACTTGCAATATTTAATTCTAGTTACTTATTCCGTGTCCACATTTCCTCTTTTACAGCTGAGCCTCTTTTTCCCAATAGTCTTTTGTATATGCTCAGTTTTTCTGGTGATTGTGCCACTTTATAGCGACACCATTAACTCTCTGATTGGCATTGGCATTGCACTTTCTGGAATTCCAGTCTACTTCATGGGAGTCTCCTTGCCTGTTTCCAAACGACCTCCCATTATCAGCAAAATAGTAGGTAAGTTTTTAAAAAGGAATGTTAAAGAACACCATTAATAAAGGAACAGTAGAACTACGGAAATTACTCTTGTAGGCAATAGGTTAGCCATGTGACAATCACTGTGAAAAAGAAGAAAATTGGTTGCTGTTTTCTGCATTTTTTGCAGTAAACAGGAACAGGAGTACTGTTAGTTTCTTCTAAGAACATGTTTTCCAGAAGGTCATAAAGGTGTAAAACTCTGAAGAAATTTTAAGTGATTGTGCTGTTCTGAAACAGCTGCAGTTAGTGGCAAAATATATTATGTTCTCAGTTCAGGTTAGACAGTTGCAGAAATGTTTCAGAGTACAAATAGAAACATTATGACCATAGTTCTCTACCTGTCTGCTGGACTCTTCACTACTGTCCTTCAATGTATTCTCTCAGGAAGTATAACAACTGCTTTGGGGATGCACCTTTCATATGTGGGGCCTTCCCCCTTTTTGGTCAAGTCATGTGACCTTTGAGCTTGACTGAGCAGAGAAGTCTTGGAAGGGTTTATGGGAAAAGGCAGGGATCAAGATGCACACAGATTTACCATTGTCCGCAGTGTGTCCTTACAAGGATATTCCTGTATTCCACTGGAAGATTCATATACTCTGCTCACAAGGGCTCTTTGATTTGCTAAATTTAGTATATTTATCAGTAGCTAAAATTAAAATTATTCAGAGGAATTTTGTTCTCAGAAATTATCAAAATGGTGGAGCTTAGGTAGGTACTCAGAAAGATCATGGTGCATTTTATCCTGTATTTTATCAATTCAGATTCTATGTTTCAGTGTTCCATATATCAGTAATAACAACTTAGCACAGGGGTGTCAAACTGAAATTCATCGGGGGCCGCATCAGCAGTTTGGTCCCCATCAAAGGGCCGGTTCTATCTGTAGGGCGCCCTTATGGGGGGAGGGAGGCCTGCGTGGTGGGGGGTTTATGGGAAAAGGCAGGGATCAAGATGCACACAGATTTACCATTGTCCGCAGTGTGTCCTTACAGGGATATTCCTGTATTCCACTGGAAGATTCATATACTCTGCTCACAAGGGCTCTTTGATTTGCTAAATTTAGTATATTTATCAGTAGCTAAAATTAAAATTATTCAGAGGAATTTTGTTCTCAGAAATTATCAAAATGGTGGAGCTTAGGTAGGTACTCAGAAAGATCATGGTGCATTTTATCCTGTATTTTATCAATTCAGATTCTATGTTTCAGTGTTCCATATATCAGTAATAACAACTTAGCACATCGATAGGTATCTTTGCCATCTTCTTAGCGTGCTGTAACTTGCTTTTTTTAAAGATGGAGGATTCAGAATTGAAGTCTGTGACCTATATACATCATTCTGATTTAGTCTCTTCTAGTACCTTTAGTATTTTGTGATTTTTTGCAGACTTTTCATCTCTTATCAGTAAACATAAATTGCATTTCGATGAATCTTGTCTATCTTTGCTAGAAACCATTTTAGTGAGACAGAACAAGTGTGTTTGTATATTTCTGCTTTCCTCAAGCATAGTTCTTGTTTCACCAGTTATAATCTCATTATCAGCACATTAGTAGCTGTATTTATTAAACGTCTAGAGAAACCATTGTCTCTTGATTGGCAGTTGATGCGTACCAGAAATAAATCTGTGTTTATTTGAACTTACCATGATTTGTCCTGTTTCTGTTGTTTTGAGTTTGAGTTGGTATTACTTTGGTAACTGCCTTGTTCAACTTATATTTTCCCTTTCATTTAGGTGCTGTCACACGAGTTACTCAACTGCTTTGTTACTGTGTTCTGACAGACATAGATGCTTATGAAGAAAAATTAGAAACCAAGTCTTTATAAAGAATGCAGAAGTGGCTAGAAAGGTAAACTGACGGCTCAAGAGATCGTGATCTGTCAGAAAGCACCACTGGATTCTGGAGTTCTTATTAAATTGGGAATTTTGACAGATCATGTCATGATCTAGGAGTTATTTGTAAAAAGGCCAGTCCTCTCGGACATAGAACCCATCAGGATTTTTGTCTAAAGATCATGATTCATAGCAGTGAAACTGAGTGTCTTAATCAAAGAGCTCAGGTATCAGATAAGTTGACATGACAAGCCACCTCGTTCCCAAGCTCCTGGAATTTAGAAGTCTCCAACAATCTTTCCATTATAACACTTTCGTTATTTATGTGGGGCCGACCTGGTTGGACTGGAATTCATGGCATTGTTGCATTAAGAGGGCTTGAATGTGGCATAAAAGAGAATGCTGCATGTTCACCCTTAAGAATAAACGTCTTCATCTACATGAAAGGCAAACTGGATAGCAATTAATGTTCTACGGCTGTTGCCCTCATATCCTTCATGTGAAACTGCTACTGAATAGTTACAATGAATGTAGACTTTTATGCTGAAGGAAAAACTGGTCAGTTTTTGTTTTGGAGAGCTCAAATTATATTATGTACTTGCTACCCTAGCACTATTTTGGTGGGGACTTCATGTAGGACAATTGCTTTTGCAGTACAGTGATTGGCCTTAGCCTCATCTCTAACTATGGGAAAAAGAGGTCCTTCCAAGCAACTGTTTCTATTTATGATCTTATGTGCATGTCATGAAGAAAATTTGCACATTTTTTTCCTAGAGGTGTCTGATGCAAAGGAGATGTTTGCACTATACATATGGAAAACATAAGTTTTTATTGAAAAACAATAGCCACAAAAAATCTTCACCTTGTATATATGATTTACTCTTGCAAATTCTTGTGTCACAGTGGCTTTCCAGTGTAATTTTCCCAACCTACCTGCAGCAGATGCACTAGAAACCAGTTCTCTGCACAGAGGCATCACATCTCTGTGCCTCCCCAAACATCATTCCTAACAGCATTAATAGCAGTTAGCATGCTGGTGGTAGCCTGCCTGTAGGGACTCACCATAAGCTTTTTCCCTGTGGTGGTACCAGTGCAGCTTTCTGAGGTGTACAGCCAGCACTGAAGCAGTGGGACCAGGCTCTTGGTTGCTGTCAGGGCCATGAAAAGAAAGTAAATGTGTATTGAAAAAGCAGTTCTGGGCAAGGTTCACCCACTCCTCTTAGTGGAGCCTGTATTTCCTTTTGCAGCCACCCTCAGAGACAGCTAGGTACTTTGTTTTAACAGTGTAGCTAGCTAAGCCTCTCTTGCCTCTCTCTAGTCAGGCTCTTAAAAACAAGGAGCTTGTAAAAGGACATGGTGGAGAGGAGAGGATTTCTGTCTCTGCTCCAATCCTGACATACTGCTGCCACCACCCATTCCCACCAGTCTGCCCCTTAGTAATGTGACACGTACTTCCTGAGGTTTGATTTTTTTAAAAAATGTGATTGTTGATACAAAGACCAAATGATTCCAATTAGAATTCTCTTCCCATAGACAGTTTCTGCCCTTTAGAATGGCTAGTTAAACCAATCTTGTATTATTATATGGCACAACCCTAGAGAAGGGCTGTTTCTCTAAAGGAAAAATATTCAGCCTGTAATTCCAAAGGACTGTGTGGTAAGAGAGAGGATTCTGCAGATGTGACTGCACTTCAGATGTTAGCATTTTGTTACAGCTGGATTTATAATCTGATCCATTTGATTGGGAACTACTGTGCTTATTTTTAAATTGCACTTGTTTTGTGTCCCTGACATATTCTGTTTAAACAAAGAATAGTAAGACAATTTAGTTTAAATTGTCAGTTCCACGGTAGACTAAACAGGCCTTTCTGCAGAATGCCACCTTTCATCTATTTCATAAGACTTAGTCTGCTGAAAACTATTACTTTTCATTTACAGAACCGTAACACAACCCTTGAAACACTTGTATTTCACTTCAGTGTATGAAGAAGTGGCACTTACCTCAAAATATACCACACTCCAGTATACTGTTAACCATTTTTGTTTTATAAAAGACTGAATTAGTAACTGATTTGTCCAGTCAGTTGTGAATGATGCTGTCTGCTTTTATACATCTACAAGGTATACAAACACTTGAAGGGGGAGGGGAAAAATAAAATTTCCACTATGTGGGAATAAAGCAGTTTGATTTAGATGGTCTGCTTTTTGTTTGCAAAGAGAGGTAGTGTTCTGTTGAGCTACCTACACCCATGCATGCATACAATAAACTGGAAAGTGGTCGTAGAGTAAAAGAGAATCTGCCAGTTATCCTCATGCCCAGCGGAGAAAGAGCACTAACAGAGCTTTTAAGTAGGAATGCAAAGACTGTGGCTGAAATCCTGTTGTGCATAACTTATGGCAATTCTTTTCTAAAATTTAAGAAACTTGCTGAAATCTAAATGCATTTAGAAAATAAGACCCAGTAAATACAGTGAGACATGATTCTGAGTAATTGCATATATGATTACGCCACTGGTATGCAACGGTGCCCTGCACATGTTTTGTGTCACAAACCTAATATTCCTTTACCATTAACAATGCTGTTGATTGCTATGGACAAAAAGAAACGGTGGGTTAGAAGTAGCCATGCACACACCAGCTTACTGTTACCTATTGTTCTAGATACCATGATACGGTATCTGTACAGGAACCTGTTATGCTTCAGCAGGCTCAATTTTAAATTGATAGTGAAGAACACCTCAGGGAAGTATGTGTTCTCTAAAACTCCATAGTTAGTCTGATGCTTGTAAAATATATGCTTCATTATTCTCACAGGAATAATAACTGTCCAGTTATCTGCAATATCAGTAGGTAAGAATCATTCAGGAAAATATCAAGGAAGCAGTTCAACAAAGCTGCCTTTAATTTACTGTACATGTTAAAGTTCATACAAATTGTATTACTTGGCAATCCAGAGTAATAAAAGTGCAAAGTGTAAGCAACAAGTCTCTCTTTTAAAATCCACAGTAGACAATTTGTTTGCAACAGGAAAAATAGACCTTACAAGGAATTCTCAGGACACACATCCCCAGCATGCTTTCTTTTCATAGTAAGCATTTCTAGTTTTCTAATACTTAACCTGGGAAGTACAGATTTTCTTTGAGGAACAGTTTTCTCCTTGAAATCCTGTACCGAATTTCAGAAAGAGCTTTCAACCCTTTCAGTGAAATAAAGTGTCTTGGTTTTTTTGGTAGATCACTGCTATGTTATAGACAAAATTACAGCAGCAGTAATTAGATAATTCCATTTCAGCATTATGCTTACCCTTAAGTTGACCACTGTTACCTGGATTTCCACTAGTAAGATACAGCCTTCACTCTACATAAATGGCAATGCTGGGAAGGTAATGGTGCCTTGGAATCCGAAGGCCATGTGTTGCAGAATGAGTCCAGGTAGACAGATTTTGGTGAACTAGTCAGAATCCAGTTCCTCCAAACCATCATATTCAAATTCTCGTACAACATCAGCCTGATACCTCTCCCATGTTCTCCTGACATATCCGCTGTCTTCATCGCTGACACTTCCACGGTCCGATTCTGTATGAAAACAGAAAATTGAAACCATAGAGAAAAAAGTATGCATTATAATGGGTCTTGGGTGAAGTTTTAAGGATGCCTGCAGCACTGTACTTCAGGTTATTTAATTACTTAGGAATAGGGAAATGGTGGCCCATCAGATGGTGAACAACAGCTTCTGCTGTCCTTGGTCACTGAAGATGCTAAATGGCACTGGTGGGAACTGGAATAAGTAATAGCTGGAGCATCGAGGGTTCCATATGTTTTGAGACACTGAAAGATTAAAAGGTAATACTGGAGCAAGTGTGCATGGACTGCAGTCCACTTAATGAGATGCATGAAATATTATCCTTAGCCACCAGTGTATCTTATAGCAATGGTAGTGTTAGCAAGAGGGAGAATTGCTATCTTGTATATCCAGTTATTTGCTCAATTACCAGCACAGAGAAGCAACAAACTTCTCTATTAGTCATTTGTGGCCTATCAAGGTTTTGCCTCTTTGTCTAGAGACTGGCCCATCTCAGGTAATATAGCAGCTGCAGGTTCATCTGGGCCTAATGGTTTCTGGTTTTATGAACAATATTGATAATGCTATTGTGCAATAGCATCTGATAATGCTATTGCACAAGGAAGCAGTGTTGAGTGGCTTCCCCATCACAACAAATACCATCTTCATTGTCGTCAGGAAGAAAATCATCTTCATCTGGATAGTCATTGCGCCAATTGTTCTCACTGTTCTCATCATCCTCATCCTCATACATTTCTTCTGGAATGCGATCTTCATCTACCTATATATAAAAAGGCTTTTTTGTGATTTCAAGCAAGTACAAATGTGCTACTCCAAAAAAAGAGAGAAGAAAGAAAAAGGGGAAATCAGATGGATTTACCTATTTATTTTGATATACTTAAGAAAGGGTTTTGTGGAAGTATTTATGCCTTTAACCATGTAGTACCTGCGGAGGGTGTTTCACATGGCCTTTCTGGTTACCTGTGGAAATCTTCCCTCCCTCAAAATAAGGCCTGCTGAAATAAGGGACGACCTTCCCCTGATGTTCCATTCTCCCTTATGCATGGCTAGACACTGGAAACATTTGTTGCTTCCATTCCAAAGAGTCCTTTCTCATGCCCAGTGCTGGTTCAAAGTATGAAACTTTGCATTTTACACACCTTAGCTGCCTTTGTGTTTCCTATATTGAAGTCCAAATGTGTGTGTGTGTGTGTGTTTGTTTTACTTCAGCTTCTCCCCTAACAATCAAAAGCACCTTAAGTTGCATGCACTGGAAGTTTTTATCATCATCATGAAAGAACCCTAAAAATCTGGATAGTGCTATGAACCAGTAAGGCAAGCCACTATGTCCAGCGATTATTAAGCACTAAAATATGGTCCCACTAAGTTTAATGAGACTTACTCCCAAGTAAGGATATGTAGGATGTCAATCTTAAGTCTCTTCTGTCACTTATCAGGCAGTAGTTATCATTGGCTTACCAGTTCATAATCCTGGGTGTACGGCTGTACAGATAAAATATTTTCAATCCATCCTGGGGAGGCTGTTTCCATATAGTAGATGTCATATACATACTCTTCTTCTATTGCGATGTCTGTCACTGCTTTGCTATTCTCAGATACAGTTAAATGCTGACGAATCATTTCAACAGCATTGCAGAGAATCACCTCTGGATCACCTGACTTCTGTTTGATTGAGAAAGTATTATTGGCATTAAATATAGAGCTCATTAAAACAAAGCTTTATTGCTAGCTTAAAACTCTTCTACAAAGTGAACTTTGAGTGTCAAAAGAAAGCAAAAAAGCAATGGATAAACCTGCATACCTGACACTATTGACTATAAAACTAACATACAACAGTTGGAGGGAATATTACAAATATATGTAAAAAAACCTCTCCTCCATCATTTCCCTTTTTGTTTATTTACAAACCTCAAGAAATAGAAACAATGTGATACCACTCCTAACACAAGGAACTGGCTAGTGAGTATTCTGCTTTTAAAAATGAATGGCCTCAGTCAAAAGTCTAACCAAATTTAAATTAGTTGGTGGACTCCAGTAAGCTTTCAAAAATGTTCATTTATTGCCATTCTGATTTAAACCATAGCCTCCTTGATAAAAGGCAGCAGGGAACAGTATAATTAGCAATCAGCTCAGAGTCAAATTTCTTATCAACATAAGTAGAGTAGCATCTGTAATAAAAACACATGCAACTGCAGTGTCACTGGCTATTCCCTGCAAATTTGAAAGATTAAAACATAGCCTGGATTCTAATCTACGGCTAGTGCAATTCAAGATTGGCTCAACACCTAAATCAAGCAACTTCATTTGTATATACCCACTGGCTTGTCACATTTTAGTATGGATAAGAGACCATCCGGGCCCCCATACCTACCTGCAATCCAATGTCTTGTTCTACATCCTCCTCTTGCACAATATCCAAATCTGACGCCTCGGCATCTGCCTCTGCTGCCACAGCACTTTCTCCATCGGTGAAATCTGGACGGTGGCTGGCAACCAGACGATAACGGCTTTCCTGCCTTTTGCTTTGCTTGGAAGAGCGAATGTCCTTCATTATTCTCTGGGCACTTCCTAAGGAAGGTCGTAGGAGCTGGGCCGCCTTCTCTTTGACAATAGCTTCTTGTACATACTTCTGGACAGGCTCATTCTGGGCGAGGGGGGGAGTTCAATTCATGTGTTAGAATTGTTCTCTTAGCATATATGCTTCTACATAAACTCATCCTTCATTTTTTGAAACTGACCATTTCCATCAGATTTACACACACACACCATAAGGACCACAGGAGAGAAACCACATAATTTCCCAGCTTGGTTGCTCCGGCTGCAGCTGTTACACATGAAATCAATATATATAAGGCCATAATACAGATTCCTAGATAACATAGTTCTACTATTACCATGATAAAAGTATACACATGTAATTTCACCGCATTTTATCTTCTCTGTGCAACCTGGTGACCAACAATGTGTGCATGCAAAGCATTATGTGCTGACAAATAATTGTGTCCTGGATTGCTACCTTCAATTCAACCGTGATTCCCATGCTGCCTGAGAATAAGCCACATGAACATCTATTATAACAACATCTGAGTAGCCACCACAAGATTGGGGCAAGCATTTCTATTTATCTTAAATTTAGCTATACTTTTAATGCCCAAAATTTAGCAGAATAAATCATGCCAGAGCAGGCCCATTGAATCAATGGGGATTTGTCGAGTCCAGTCCTCTGTAAGTCTCATGGATTCAAATAGGCTTACTCTGATCACAAACTGCTGTGATATCTCCTGGTTTAGGTCTCTTGAGTTGGGAGTTTGATTCCCCCGTACCTCCCTCACCCAGGCTAGACAAGATGCTCCATAGGGTCCCTTCCAGCTCTGTAGTTCTAAGATGATGATGGTTCAAAAACACCAGCTAGAGTCAATCAAAATTATAAAAAACATTGCCTGGCATTATATAACAGATATGAGTTTCTACCAAAACACTAAGTATCTGTTAAGTATCAGCACAGTCTGTACCCTGCTCCTGATATTGCCATTTTTGGTAGCTCTGATGGTGTGATTTATCTGCAACCGCTTATAACACTGTGTGAAGTTTCTTGATATTGTTCCCAAAGCCCCAATGACTACAGGGACTAATAAATGAATGATGATGATGATGATACGCTTACTCTGATTATGAACTGCTGGATTATAATTATTATGATTAACAACAATTTACTAAACTGTTGGATAGAGTAGACCCATCTGCATCAATGGAGGCGCTGACTCACCAAATCCCCATGGCCTGAATAGGCCTACTCCACAGCTATTTACTCTACACTCAGCAAAAAAGGGAGTCTCCTTCCCCAAGATCTCTCTCCCCCGCTCTTCACTAGACACAGAAGCCAGCACCGCCACCTCTTATTCCTCCTCCTCCTCCTCCTCCAGCAAAGGCGCCTTCTTCGCAGCCTCACCTCGGAGGCCACGGTGGCCACCAGCTTGAAAAGGTTCTTCTCCACGCCATCCCCTCCAGCCGACGCAGCCCCCTCTTCGGTCCGGAGCCGCTTGCAGGCCAGCAGGAGGGCCTCGGCTGGCGAAGGCCCACCGCGCTTCCTCTTCACGCGCAGCACCGCCGCCCGCTCCATGGCAACCGGAGTAGGCCCCATGCGCGCGGGGGTTGACGGGAAAGGGAAGGTCTCGCGGGCTCGAGCCCCGCCCCCTCCACTGGGATTGGCTCCGGTTTGCGGACTTCCCTTCCCTCTCCCCCGCCCCCTTTGAAAGGGACTCTGAGAGCGCCCCAAGGGGGAGCAGTCCAAATGGCTTTTGGATAGCACTTCCGGTTCCATGAGCTTTCGTGGAGAAGTCTCTCTCTCTCAGTCCGTGCAGCTTCTCTCTTCTCAGTTTTAAGTTTTAGTATGTTTTCTCTCTTTCTCACTTGCAACCTTCCGCGAGGCTTCCCTGCTGCCATTCCCCCACTCTTGCCCCGCATGCGAAGGGGGCAGGAGGTGTCCACCCAGGCCCGGAAGTGTCTCGCTCCTTTCCCGGATCTCTTCGGAGTCCCCGCTTCGTGAGCTGCCAGGCTCGCCGCGCGTTGCCTTCTGGGAAGATGGCGGCGCCCAGCGCGTGCGGTGATTGACAGGGGAGAGGCGCCTGAGGTAGGAAAGAACCGTTAAAGGGTGTGGGGCGTTGGGGGAGGGGAAGCGAAATCCCCCCCCGGGTCTCTTAAGGGGAGTTTGGGGCGCGGTGGGGTGGAAGAGTTGGGAAGTTTGCCGCCTGGGCAGCCAAGCCTGGCAGCCGTGCCTCTGAGCATGTGCAGAGAGCATTTCTCTCTCTCTCTCTCCCTCTCCCTTTCTGTCCGAGATCGTCCTTCATTTCTCTGAGCATGTGCAGAGAGCATTTCTCTCACTCCCTCCCTCCCTGTCCGAGATAGTCCTTAATCCAAAGGGCGCCTAAATAGCTCAGCCCACCCAAGCCGTGCCCAGTACCTAGGACTGACGTGCTCCTGGCCATGTGCAGAGTTCTTTTCAGCGGCCACCCTTTTTAAAAAAAGAGACGACTTGGCCCCAGCGGGCGTGGGCCCTCTCTCGCCCCCGCTTTGGCGGAGGAGGGTCGGAGCACGATCTCCTCAGCCACGGAGGATTTGGGACAGCATGGAAATGGGGGAAGGCGATGGAAAGAAACGGCAGCTCTCTGAGGGCTAAACCTGGCCTGAAGCTTCCAAAGGCTGGCTGGTCTCCTCGCCGGGCAAGGGTGGGGAGGGGGGCAAAAAACAACAACAAAAAACCAGAAGGATCGGCAGGACTGCTGGAGTGAGGCAAAAAAACCGGTGGAGCTGCCCAGTCCAGAGCCGGCTTGTTTGCTGTCTTCGCATGGGGCAGTGGCTGGTTGAATAAATAAACCATTTCCACACAGTCATAAAGTAATACAGTGGTGCCTCGCTAGACAGTTACCCCACATGACAGTTTTTTTGCTAGATATTGGCTTTTTGCGATAACAGTGATTCCTATGGGGGAATTTCGCTGGACAATGTTTGGTCCCTGCTTCGCAAACCAATTTTCGCTAGATGACGATTTTGACAGCTCCCTCCGCGCTTGCAAACAGGCGTTTTCGGGACCTAAGCTTCGCAAGCCAGCAATTTAAACAGCTGATTGGCGGTTCGCAAAGCGGCTTTCCTATGGCCGATCTTCACTAGACAACGACGATTCTTCCCCATTGGAACGCATTAAACAGGTTTCAATGCATTCCAATGGGGAAATGCTTTTCGCTAGACAATGATTTCGCTAAACAGCTATTTTAGTGGAACGGATTATCATCGTCTAGCGAGGCACCACTGTAACACCTGCCACAAACACATGGTGCTTCTTAAGGAGCAGATTGTCATAGAGGAGCACATTAGTTGCCAGCATACACATACAGTATACGGTAAGAGCACCGTATCCATGGTTCCAAGCCCCCCCCCCAAGATGCTGAAAACCACAAATAATAGCAAACTGTATAATCTGTTAGATCCTAGGACAACAGGACAATAACCAAGGGTGGCTGCCCAGAAGGAATCATCTCAAACTGGCAAAATATTAGGCAAAACGGGCCAATTATCTCTGTAGTGTAGTCTCTGGTTCCTTCTCATGACCAATTCTGGTAATTGCATCATGCAAACACGTATTTCTGGCTTTTTTTCATTTAATATTTTAGTATTTTCAGACCGCAGATTAGCAAAGCTGGATACAGATCCTGCAGATACAGGAGAGTCCTATAGTACCTCAAAGCCTTACAAACTGATTAGTGTAAGATCTTTTGGAAACTATAAGTGGGCCATAGTCCATGAAAGCTCAGGGCTATCGATGATTTGCACAGCCGCTGAGGTCCGACACAATTTGTTGTTGGAAAAAGTTGACCTATCTACCTGCTTGGGCATTGTGAGAATGGCAGAGGTGTTCAGGGTTTGCTTTTGCTAACTGTGAGTTATGCATGTAGTGTTCTAAACTGCAACCTGTTTTCTTTTGGAATAGATTTCTGATCATGTATTAAATGTTTGAGAGCACCTGAAGAAGTTTTTTTCCCCCTCATCAAAAACAAAGCAAGTCAATGATGAAAGTTTTCTGCGGAAGAGCCAATCCTACTACTGGCGCCGTAGAGTGGCTAGAAGAAGATGAGAACTATGACTATCACCAAGAAATTGCAAGGTGTGGTGGAAATTGTTTTGGGTTTGTTGGTTTGCTTGTGTTTAAACCATGAATGCTGGTTTTTGACTTATGATTTCCTGCCTGTTTTTGAATTGCTCTTATACTTAACTTTTAAATCTTGTTGTGTTTAATTGTTGTTTTTAAGTGTTCTATTTATGTAGTGTTTTTAAATTTCTTATTTTATCTGTTGTGACCTGTCTTGGGTTCCCTATGGGGAGAAAGGTGGCAAATATGTAGTTTAAACAAAACAAACAAATTCTCAACTACAGTGACAGGTCAGCATGGCGTAGAGGCTAAAGCACTGGATTGAGGCATTTGGGAATAAATTTCCATGCAGCATTAAAGCTTACCTGATTGCCGTGAACTGCATATTCTTTCTCTGTCTAATCATAAGGTTATTGGGCTCAGAAGACCTATGTGTGCCATTGTGAATTTTTCTGATGAAGGGAGGGATAAATTTCTCATAGCAATGCAATAGAAATGAAGGACAAAAATAAGAGTTCCAGAGAAAATTAAAAGCACAGTAGGTTTTCTGTCTAAGTTCCTAGTAGTTTGTGAGTTTTAGGCAGTGCTGAATACACTTCCAGTTAACTGCTGACTTCAAGAATATATATTAGTCCCTGTTCTAGTATCCTTCATTGCAGCTCTTAATCTCTAGCATTTGTAGTTACCATCTTAAAATGGTGCTATGTGATGTGCCCTTTGCCAAGAATATTCCTCTTCTCTCTCTCTTATTATTTCTCAGTCATCCACACTTCCTCCAGCTTCTCCTCCTTAAAGGCAGGGAGGAAGGGTGGCCTGTCACAGCTCCACCTGGAGCCCATTTTAGAGGAATGGTGCCATAGCCAGAAAGGCCCTGTGTCTTGTGGACATCTTCCTGGCCTCTCTCAAAGTGGCAACCTGGAGGAGCATAGCCTGTGCGGATTGGTATCTTAAATGGAAGGAAGGAAGGAGCTGAAAAAAGTAGCTGTTCTCCCGAGCATCATAAAGATCATAGTAAGAAAACAGAGGACAAAACTTGAGAATGCATTTATGGGATATGGAAATGAAAATCTTGCCCATTGAAAATTGTTCCAAAATGAGGGGGTATCAAGTAGAAGCTAAATCCAATCTGTCCAAAGCCATATTCTGGCTGTAGGTGGTATACATCTGTTAGAGAAGATGGACCTGTTCTCGGCCAAATAATGGAAATGTTGGGCCCTATCCACCAGATCCCTTAGTCATCATCTTGGCTAAGTAGAGAAGTTTGTTTTTGAAAAGCAAACTGAGATCCTACTGTATAGTTTCTTTTTGTTGAATATTATGTTAGGAACACTGATCATTTTTTTGAGAGCTGACTTATTGTTGCTGATTTGTAATGTGGATTTTATTTACAGGTCATGTTATGCAGACATGCTGAATGACAAAGACCGAGTGAGTACTTTTGTTACAAATGTTATTTGAATGATATATGTTGCCTCATTAGCTTCCATTCATGATGACTCTGACTCTTTTCAAACTCCTTCTAGATCACACCCAGATTGCTTTTCTTTTTCTGTTTCCTTGTGAATATTTTCCCATACTTCCTGAAGTGTTGCAGGTAAAAGCACATGATGCATAAAATGTTCTTGATGATGTAGTGAAATGTTTCCCACCTGTAATTTTTAAGGCGAATTATTTGCCTTTTTTTTCCAGACTGGTGAGGTTGTCTTTTTACTTTTTTTAGTTTTAAGTGCTTTGTTCATAAGGAAAAATAAATCTTGTCCTGTTTGCCCAAGCTGCCGTTTTAGGTTACACCAAGTCTTAAAGGTAGAAATTGGATTGTCAGGATGGCTGTATATGTTTCAAAATGAAAACCAGCAACCAACAATTGCACTTAGATTGGCTGCTTGGAGATATTTTTGTGGACGGAATGCCTCTCAAAATCAGGGCAGTTTGATACCACTATAACTCTTCGCTCCATTCTGTGTATGGCGACTGCTTGTAATCCCCTGTTACAGAACTCTATTGCTCTCCCCTGGACTACAGCAGAGAATTCTGAAGCTCTTCCCAAACTACAAATCCCAGATTTCCATAGGGTGAAGCCAAGGCAGTGAAAATGATGTCAATCTGCTATGGTATAGATACACTTTTTAGACATTGCCAGTTGATGGATAATCCAGATCTATGTTTGAAAGCATGGCTAACAAACTGCTTTTATTTTAGCTAAGTATCAAAAGGAAGGCCTACAACCATCCCTGGTGCCTTCGAGATGTGCTCGCTCAGAACCCCCATTATTTGCAGCTGGCATGGCCAGTGGTTGGACTGGCTGAGCCTGAAACTGCTGTATGGCTCGGCGGTTTAGCTTCTGCAGAGCCATAGCCTGGGAGTTTGATTCCGCACTGGTCCTCCTTGACAGGGGCTGGACTTGATGACCCAGAGGGTCCCTTCTAGCTCTGCAGTTCTAAGATTAAGGAGATAAGATGAAATGTAATCTGGAAGATGCCAGCTTGTCCTCTGCTTGTAATTTTGGAAGACCGAAACATAGATGACTGTCAAATATGTAAATTGATGCATCTTAACTTAGATCCCATCTGGTAATGGTCACATTCTAATGATAAATAAGCCCTCTGTGATCAACACCCCATCTGTTTATCAAGGACTTCTGGGTGTGTGCTTTCTTCTGTAGCTAAGATTTTCCAGTTCAGATAGCATGTATAAATATTTTTCAGAGTAGCCCTGGGCAATATTCGGAACCATTTTTAATGGAGTTTCAAAAGTCTGTATTGGCAAACCTTAGAGGTGTTTTTTTTTCCAGCATTGTGCTTATTTTGAGACACTCAGCTTTTTGTGAGCGCTTCCATTGATTTATATTTTAAGGAGGAGACGTTTTGAAAGGCAGGGGGGAATCAAAAAGGCACGTCAAGCACAATGTCCTGAGGGGAATTATGTCCATCTGTATCTAGCTTTAAACAGCTGCAAAGCCCCAAATATCTCTTTATTTGGAAATGGCACTGAAGATTTTGGCAGGAACAGGATGGAAAATCCTCAGTGGGTAAAAGTCTGTGTTAAACAGAGCAGAGAACCAACTGTGCCATTCAAGACAAGGCCACCTAAACCCCTCCAGCTATAAAGCTTTCATTTAGAATTAAAGATTTAAAGACCATGTTGCAAGGTTAAGGAAAAAGTAAATTGGGAATGTAGGTCAATGCTAAAGTTTCTAATACTGTGGCAGCTTTACTTTATTTTTCTTGTGGAAAGGTATATGGTTTTTCACATCTGTTATCATGGGAATCGTGTTGGTTTATATCTACACTGAATCCCTGGGACTTCTTTTTAATAGAAACGGATTCTTTATTGAATTTTTAAACATAGTGTCACGTTATAAAAAAAAATTAAGCCCTCACTGTTCCCTTATGGCTGATGATATGAGAAAAGAGTAGAACTCTATTCTTGCTCACAGTCTCCTCCGCTTCTGATGGATACAGTCGGGGGTGGGGGGAAGAGTCCTTTGTTTTCATGTTGCAGTTAATGCTGCAGTTCTCTTCCATAGTTTTCTGGAATCAGAAAACAGCACTTGCGTGATCCCCCGAACAGCAGCAGGTTCCATAATAGCAAGCCGAGAGACTGTCTGCCCTGTGGGCCTGGTTGAGGCAACTGCTCTTTGCCTTTCTTTACAGAATGCAAAATATTTCCAGGGGATTCGTGCCGCAGTCAGCCGAGTGAAAGAAAGAGGGGAGAAAGCCATTGTTCTGGACATTGGGACTGGGACGGGCCTGTTGTCCATGATGGCGGTCACCGCTGGAGCCGATTTCTGCTATGCTGTAGAGGTGAGCCTCACCCCAACTCGTTCTCACAGGCGCTTTAGGGATCTGTTAGGCAGGAGGTACGTCCCGGCAACCAACTTGTCAGAAAAAATTACAGCATCAACAACAGTCTCTATAAAAGAGAAGATGTGGGAGATCTTTGATCCAGCCTTCCCAGCGTTCTCCCCATTTTGAAGCAGCCCCATTTCACTGTGGTTTTTGTTCAAGGGGAAGTGACACACTTCGGGTCTAAATGGATGCTGCTTGCAGTAGTTGATGTTACTCGTTGGAGCGCTTTTCCTTCAGAACATCATCCCACACCGCCTGATCCACACAGGCTGTGCTCTCTGAGAGAGGCCGGGAAGGCGTTCACAAGAAACAGGGCCCTTTTAGCTGTGGCACTGTCCCTCTGGAATGAGTGCCTTCCTGGTGGAGCGGCCCCTGGCCCCCTCCTTCCCTGCCTTGAAGAGGATGTTAAAAACGAGGCTCTTTCAAGAGGCCTTTAGGGGCATTCTTGGCTAAGTGGTTTCCAGATTTTGCCACCGTCTCACTAGTGTTTAAATCTAGGTGAGCTTACACCTAGCTATTTTGCTCCTTGGCGGATGTTATCGTTTTTATTTGTTTCTGTTTGACAATACAATGTTTTGTTTGCTATATTGTATAGTTTATCGATTGCCTCTTGGCGGTAAACCAAATAAATAATTCTGTGGATGTAGGGGAGACGTCTGGGTACATGCCCTGCTTTATCCATAAAAACTGGTTGGTGAGGGATGGGAAGGCATCTGGAATAAGGCGTTTCGAGCACCATGCAGGGTTGTGCAGGAAGGAAATAGGGATGAAGTCCTGACTTTGCTGGCCTTTGATGTCAAAATTTATCCTGCTGAATCTTGGCCGTTGTTTCCCTGGAGGTCATCCGTTGTCTCCCTGGTCCACCCTAACTCATCATGGGCCCCGATTCATGATGAGGATAGAACTAAGCTGTTTCTCGGTGCTGTTTTAATAATTAGTGAGATAACCTGTATGAAAATACCTTAATTGGTTGAAATGCACTATGTAAGCGCAAAGGATTGTTATGTTTTAGGTCTTCAAGCCTATGGCCGAAACAGCTGTGAAGATCGTGGGGAAAAATGGCTTTAGTGACAAGATAAAGATCATCAACAGACACTCCACGGAAGTCACAGTGGGGCCTGGTAAGAGACAGAGGGAGTCTTTTTCTCATGTGGCATGGAGCAAAATTGTTTTTTTTTAATGCATATCACCTTGTAAACGTCTTTCCAGGATAATTTGCATAAAACAATTACTGAAGTTACCGACCAAAGGCATCTCAAAAATCATCTGTTGAAATATACAAAATCTGCTGCTAGGAACAGATTGATTTTAAAAGCCCAGGAGAGTAAATACATTTGTCTGATGAATAGCTGTGTGTTCTGCATCTGTGCCAGGTGAATATTTCTGTTGGTGTTAGGTGAATCTCCTTTTAAAGGGTGTTTTTGAGTATAGCTCCCAGAATTACCCAGCCCCAAATACCTGCCTAATATCTACAAAGCAGCATGTCTTAAATATGCTGGCTGGGGGATTCTGGGAATTGTAGTCCAAAGAGGTAACTTTTCTCACCTCTGCCTTCTCCCTTAGATAGTATTTATTTTTCACTGGGCCATTTGGATTGTCCGGATTGTTGCTTTATATATTCGATAGGAGGGCCTGGTGTGCTCTGGTCCATGGGGTCATGAAGAGTCAGACACGACTAAACAACAACAACAACAATATTCATCTTCTCTGTCCAGCTTGATTGCTATAGTCTTCTGTGACCCAGCCTCTTCCTTCTTTGACTTATGTTGGGGTTCAGGCAATGAGCAGGCTGATGGGCTTTGTGGTGATCACCAGATAATGGATAGCAAAGAGTCTCTTAGCAATAGATAGAAGAAGTCAGCCACACACACAGATGGATGTCTGCCAGCAGTACTCCTGGCGGGCAACTCAGCAAGGAAGCAGAATGAGAAGTCTTCTTCGTCTGTGACGTTCTGCTGATGTTCTCCGTTCTCTGATGTTCTCCTATGTTCTGCTTCTCTGCCACCAGGAGACTGTCCTTTTATTAACATTACAGGGTCACAGGGTTCAGTAGACAGGGTTCAGATAGGACAATGGTTACATTAGGGTTGGTCTGGAGAAAGGCAATTAATCAAGTGCTCTGATTGGCCTAAGGAAAGGCTTCTATGCCAAGCTCTCTATGATAATGAGAAGGAGGGAGAATGATGGCAGCTCCTTCCCTCAGAAACAGCCACAGGATGCTAGGAGAGTTTTCCCTCACTACAACACCCATGTGGCTTAGCAACCTTAGGAATGATACCCCCACAGACTTACTGTGCCTAAACTTTTCTGATATACCTACTTGTTGCTGGCCTAACAAACATCTAATTTGTGAGCAAATAGTGCAAAGTTTTAAAAAGTAATATAGCAAAATCAACTTTTGCTTTTTCATAACAACTTGGGTGTCCTTTTTACTGGCTGTATGTGCGTGTGTGCGAGCAAACGCAGAAAATTCACACACCCCCACTTGGTTTATCACCTGCGCCTCTTGTGATTCTTCTAATGAAGAAAAATAAGCGTAATGTGTAATGTTAGACGGATGACAGCTTCTCCCTTGCAAAACATTCTCCGGCGTGAGCAGTTTCTAGCAGAATCCGGGAAGGGTGCATTAATCACCCCCTGCCAGCCTCATTTCTTCTGAACTTTTCCAACCCCTATCCAGGAGATGAGCACCTTGGAGAGAAGACATTTCAAGCCTAAAAACAGTTTGGCAGAAGTGAGTGTTGCAGCTCCTTGCCTTCTGCAGAGATGAAGCAGTTGCCCTACGAGTATTGCCAATGGCTGAGTTGTAATGTTTAAACCCTACCTTGTAGCCTCAAATGAAACGGATGCCTAAAATGCTTAGTCTGGCATGTCTTTCCCACTTTGAGATTTCTGGGCATTGGCTTCAGCAGAGGCTCACTCTGTCCTATAGTTTGGAAGAAGAGAAGGGAACTGTGAAGAGAAGCCATCTGTCCAGAAGAAATGAAAGGCAGCGTCATTCTCTGCCCCCCACTCGCTGATGCTCAAATGTGTTGAACTGATCACACACAGGAAATTGCACACGGATTCAGTTGGTGATGATTTTGGAGGAGCGTTTCACATGTGTTCCAACCAACAGGGGTGGGGGCTTTTAAAAAATTCTAAATCAATCCCTCTTGCTTTTCAGACGGAGACATGCAGTGCCGTGCAAATATCCTGATAACAGAGCTGTTTGATACTGAACTGATAGGCGAAGGGGCTTTGCCGTCTTATGAGCACGCCCACAAGTTCCTTGTGCAGGTAAGGAGTGAGCAGACAAGACCTGACACATTTCCCCTGTTAATCATTATGCAGTGCGGCAACATTGCTTAGAGCTTCTGCATCCAAGCCCAAGCAGAGATGATGGTGCCCAAGCTCTGTGGTCACCCTCCGGTTGTTCCCCGTTGCCATTACCATCTCTTGTCACCGTTGCTGGCTGAGCTTGGAGATATTCCTTTTCTTGGACTACAACACCCAGAAGCCCCAGCCAGCATTATAATAGTTGTAGTCCAGTACCTTGGGAGGGCACTGGGTTGCTGCCTGCTCTTCTAAGAGAAGAGAGTATAATGGTGGGTGTTTGGAAAAGGGACACAGAGGCAGAGAACTGCAAGAAAAATCCATTTAGGACTCATGTCATTTAAGAAAGGATAAAAAGCAGACAAACACAAGAAAGATTTTTTTTACACAGTTAATTTTATTTTGGACCTTTAGGATCGCCCTAATGGGTGGTCCCTGCCGGATGCCCAGAGGAAGGCAAAAAACCTCCAGGACCTCAGGCCAAATTGCCCTGGAGGAAAATTCCTTCCCGACCCCAAATGTGGCGATCAGTGTTACCCTGGGCATATCAGCAAAGACCATAAACCACCACCCGGCCGCTGGCACAACATCCAGAGACTCCCTCAGCAACAGCCTTGCTGGTTTGAACGTCTGAGAGCTGGAACACAGGAAAAGCTCCGTGTTACCTGAAAGATTAATAAACGTCTTCTGAAATGCCATCACATCCCATCATTCAAACCTAAAAAAAAGAGAAAGAAGTTCAAGGACTGAATCTAGAACTTCAGAAAATTACTACATTCTCCCAGAATCCTGCATCCACCTTACAAGGAGGAGGTGGAGATTACAGTTCCAAATGTCATGATTCTGACTGGACGCAACCACGTTCATGATATTTATGGGGATAAAAACACTTGAAATAAAATGAATGAATTACCTGTTCCGTCCTTCAAGGTGATAGAAGTGGTGCAGAAGTTTCAGCCAAATTTGTAATTCCTATTCCAGTTTCTCTGAGGGCGATGAGATAAAGGTCTTCTAGAGTTTCATCAAATCTAATCAGTCCAACCTAAAAAGAAGTTCATCAATTGAAATTAGAACTTTAGAAGTTTAGTACATCTGAGAATCATGCAGTAACCATGCCAGTGGGATTTCAAGATTTGAGTACCAAAATGCAAGAATTCAGAACAGAATTATTTAACATGATTAATTATTTGAAAAACCTTGGAAATACATTGAATTACTTACCCCAAGATGATGCACAGCAGGTCACTTTAATTTTGGAAATCATTCAGTGTTCGATGTCCGTTTCAATCATCACGATCCGAAGACAAAAAAGATGTGCTGATGGCCTGCTGGATAATTTGGGGAGGAAGAGGCATTTTTCTTACCTGATGATGAAAGTGAGTGACTTACCCCAAGATGATGCAGGAAGATGAATAGATGGTTCTTGGAAGACATTGCAGGTCCCTTTCACTTTTGGAAATCATTCAGTGTTCGATGTCCGTTTCAATCATCACGATCCGAAGATAAAAAAGATGTGTTGATGGCCTGCTGGATAATTTGGGGAGGAAGAGGCATTTTTCTTACCTGATGATGAAAGTGAGTGACTTACCTCAAGATGATGCAGGAAGATGAATAGATGGTTCTTGGAAGACATTGCAGGTCCCTTTCACTTTTGGAAATCATTCAGTGTTCGATGTCCGTTTCAATCATCACGATCCGAAGATAAAAAAGATGTGTTGATGGCCTGCTGGATAATTTGGGGAGGAAGAGGCATTTTTCTTACCTGATGATGAAAGTGAGTGACTTACCTCAAGATGATGCAGGAAGATGAATAGATGGTTCTTGGAAGACATTGCAGGTCCCTTTCACTTTTGGAAATCATTCAGTGTTCGATGTCCGTTTCAATCATCACGATCCGAAGATAAAAAAGATGTGTTGATGGCCTGCTGGATAATTTGGGGAGGAAGAGGCATTTTTCTTACCTGATGATGAAAGTGAGTGACTTACCTCAAGATGATGCAGGAAGATGAATAGATGGTTCTTGGAAGACATTGCAGGTCCCTTTCACTTTTGGAAATCATTCAGTGTTCGATGTCCGTTTCAATCATCACGATCCGAAGATAAAAAAGATGTGTTGATGGCCTGCTGGATAATTTGGGGAGGAAGAGGCATTTTTCTTACCTGATGATGAAAGTGAGTGACTTACCCCAAGATGATGCAGGAAGATGAATAGATGGTTCTTGGAAGACATTGCAGGTCC